AAACGAGAGAGGGGGAACATACGCATAGACAAGTTCTTTTTAAAAAAAAAAAAAGGAGAGAAACAGGCAGCTGTCTGACAAAATAAAATAGACTAGGCAGAGGTTATTAAAAAAGAATTGAAATAGACAGAGGTTTAAAAAAGACAAATGCTTCAGAGCCAGCAAGTTGGGCATATAGGGCCCAAACCTGCCAGGGGTGGAGCTCTCTGGATCAGGGAAAGCACTGACACATATTTAACCTAATGCCCAAGCAGTAGCTCAGAAGTCAGTGGAACGCCTCATGGAGCTAAGAGCTTCCTGGGTCAGGGCCGGAGTGCTCAGCCCCTTCCGGGCTTGAGCTCATTGTTAGCCTCTATAACCATGGGAGCTTATTACTGTTATGTTCACCTGCCTTCCTGTTTCTTACACTTTCTTGTTGAGTCTTGTCTCAAGTTAAGCCCCTGTCCTGCTTGGATTCTTGGGGGCAGACATTTTAACCATGTCGTATCTCATCAACTTCACCGGGACTCTGGGCAGCTGTAAGTGTTCCCCTATGTGGGTCTCACTGCAGAATCGGGGGCACAGACTGCAAGCTCTTCCTACACAATGTCCTCCTATGTGTCTGTACAATGCCTAACAGAGAGGGGCCCCAACCACCAACGGAGGCTTTTCAGCACTACTGAACATAATTAATTAGTTCTTATATAAGCAGAATGAGTTCCTGCTAGCCAGAGGGACAGAGAGAATAGGGAGGGCTTTTGGAAAGGTCAGTAGGAAACCAACACTAGACCACAGGTTCTCAAACTGCAGTCTCTGGAACCCTTGCTGTTGGTCCAGAGAGCTAACTGCTCCTCCTTCCTATTTTCACCTGCTAAATCATTTACAGGTAGAGAATCGATTCATGGGCATTGAGGCTAGAAGGGTCAACTATCATATTCTAGACCGGGGGTTCTCAACCTTTTTCATTGAGGCCCCCCTAACATGCTACAAAAACTCCACGGTCCACCTGTGCCACAACAACTGATTTTCTGCATATAAAAGCCAGGACCAGCATTAGGGGGTAGCAATCAGGGCAATTTCCCACGGTCCCCCACCATAGGGGACCCCACAAAGCTTAGTTGCTCAGGCTTTGGCGTCAGCCCCGGATGGTGGGGCTTGGCCCCCCGGCTTCAGTCCCATACAGTGGGGCTTAGTCTTTCTGCCCAGGGTCCCAGCAAGTCTAATGCTGCCCCTGCTGGGCGGACCCCCTGAAACCAGCTCGCAGCCCTCCAGTGGGCCCATGGCCCCTGGTTAAGAACCACTGATCTAGACTGTCCTCCTGCTTAACATAGTCTGAATTTTCTAGTTTCAGCTCAAAGCACTGGATTTCATTATACCTTTGGCTAATAGATTACATCAGGAATTTCCCAGTATTAATTTCCCACGGAGTTACGTGGGAAATTATGTGATCAGTATGTGTCCTTGAGGCACTCTTTCTATTGAAATGGGCCACCTGCTGTGAAAGAATGAGACTTTCAGGGTTAGAGAGAACATAGGATCAGTAATAAATGAGGAGGGGGGGTTAGATTAATACTGCCCCAAAAATGGCTGGGATACTCAACTCCTTTTTTTAAAAAGAAAATTGTCATTAGAGCTAGTCAAATCATTCCAAATGAATCGTTTGTTTGGTGAATTTTACCTCGTCCTGTTTGCATATTGTCCAGGGGCAGATCAAGATTTTCTCAGAATTCTTTATTACTCAAAATTCTTTGTGGAATTATTTCAGTGACTAGTTCTTGGTCTCTGGCTTGCCCACAAGGAGTCTGTTATATTTGGTGTTTTAAATGTAAGCATTTTACAGAGGGAGAACTGAGGTACAGAAAGGTTTCAGGGACTTTCATAGATCCCTAACATGTGAGACCAGGAGGACCATCAGATGATTTAGTCTGGCCTCCTATATAATACAGGCTGGAGAATTTCAAAACCTTGCCCAAGATTACCCAGTAGAGTCAGTCACAGACCCAAGGTCTTCTAAATATCAATCCGATGCCCTGGCCACTGTACCTTGCCTCAACTGTACATCCTCCTTGGTATCACCCAAAATAATTCCCCTTCCTCCTCGGCAATGACACCTTTCAAATATTTGTAAGTGATTATCATCTTCCCCTCTTCTGATGTATCGTTTGCCCATCAGTGATGCGTCTGGTTGTGAGAATCAGATTGGAACGGATGTGTTTTATTTTCTATAATGATTTGCCACCAACAGACTGCAGGTCAAAAATAGTTACAGCTTGCAGGAGTGCCTTCTAGAGCCAATTAGAGCCTGCTCAACCTGACTGGGCATCAGAATGGCTAGCAGGAGTCACACTGTCCTTGCAAAATGGAGGCTTTACTATGACACACAGCAGAGATTGGGGTGCTGACCATTCCTTATAGATTCATAGATTCTAGGACTGGAAGGGACCTCAAGAGGTCATCGAGTCCAGTCCTCTGCCCTCATGGCAGGACCAAATACTGTCTAGACTATCCCTGATAGACATTTATCTAACCTACTCTTAAATATCTCCAGAGATGGAGATTCCACAACCTCCCTAGGCAGTTTATTCCAGTGTTTAACCACCCTGACAGTTAGGAACTTTTTCCTAATGTCCAACCTAAACCTCCCTTGCTGCAGTTTAAGCCCATTGCTTCTTGTTCTATCCTTAGAAGCTAAGGTGAACAAGTTTTCTCCCTCCTCCTCATGACACCCTTTTAGATACCTGAAAACTGCTATCATGTCTCCTCTCAGTCTTC